GAATGAAATGTACTCTTAAATCATTTTATCCTATATAAATACGTGTAAGACATGTAGTTTGCAGCAACAATAGCCCCTCTTCTATATTATTACACGTATGATATCATTTGGTCTTATTGTTACAGGAGGCTTCACGTAGCCTTTGATGCTATTGCATGCCAATTTGGCTTTTTCCCATATTTCAATGATTTTAATTTACAATTTTGCTTATTTAATTTGGGTGTGGAATGGTAGAGTCTTTACACCATTTTGTTAACATCTTTAAACTTTTGTCTAAAAATTGAGGGTAACGGTTAGAATAGATTTGGCCATAATGAAATGCGTATAACATTACTAGGTTACTTTTATTTAAATGATATTTTAAATACTAATATTTATTGTTTAGTTAATAATCATTTAACAATTTAGACTTAATGAAAAATAAGATTATTTCAAATTTATGTTACCGGCTAGACCGGGTTTTGGGGTGTTACAAGGCGCCTGTGCAAATGTGGTTTATAATACACGAAATAAGGAAGAAAATAGTTGCAGTATGCATTAAAATAAAAAAAATGTATTTTTCTTTCATTTTTCGCAATCTTAGTATTCTGAAGTCAATAGACCAAAAAGAAAGAATCAATCTCACATGTAATCCACAATGTTCAACATGTCACATGCATAAATCTAAAACTGAATTCTATAAAGGGATGGAGCTCTACTTTTTTAATTAAGCCTAAAAACAAAGTAGAGTGTACTGTTGGACATCTTTATTTGTATTCCTTAAACTTAACTTTTTGTTCGCGTCCTTTATTATCATTAGAGAATTAATCAAGATGTTTAGGAATCTATAAAGCTTGTTGTATGTAGTATATTAAAAAATGTGTCTATTCACTACTTATAATCTTAGTGTTCATAAATCATAGTCTAAAAAGACAGAAAAATTGCACTTTTAAGCATCTTGACTAACATACATGAGCATTCTAATTTCCAAATAATTAGGCGTAGAAATCCATGAGCATTCTAATTTCCAAATAATTTCAACGTGGACTTGCACAAATGCCCCTAGAATTAGGCGGGAGACTCACTTGGTTGAGTTAATAATATATAGATATAGATAGATTAGATAAAGAGGAAGAAATTGCATTTTATCTTCTTCCAGATGAAAAGAAGTAAAGAGGAAGAAATTGCATTTTATCTTCTTCCAGATGATATCTTTGTTTATTAATTTTGTGGCTTGGATGAGCTTTTATTCTAACAATCCAACATGCTTCAACTCCAAATCACTTGATTGACTTGAAGGATCAAAGAAGTATTACAAAATAGTACTCCCTGCTAATTTTAATATCACTCTAACTATAGTCTGACATTTATACATTTCCAAAGCCAAATGAAATGTCTACATTTACCAAATATAGTGTAATTTGATCTAAAGCAAATGCTAGTTTTCTAGTTTAGAGAATTTAATAGCATTGAAAAGACAATGCAGCCAACATTTTACTACGTTCAATACAAAGAAGAGCCTCATTTATAATACAAAAATTAGCATTAACGCTTGTTTGTTAATGTTAAGGGAAACCATTATGGAATAGCTAAATATGTTGGACTTTCAGAGTGAATAGTGTTTAGTAACATCCACTTAATCCAAATAATCAATCTAAAGGCTACTCATTACCTGTTTATAAAGAGTTATAAGACTGAAACAACTGGATGTAAAAACCTTTACATTTGTTAGCATTCTTTTCACCCAAACTATTAAGTCACAATCTACCTAAAAGTTAGACGCTTAGAGCCCGTTTTGTGATTCGAAAATGATGTTTTTTTAGAACAATGTTCGGGAAGCTGTTTGATCCCTATCTTAAAAAAATAAAACTTTTCATTTTTCGTCAAATATAACTTTATTCTGAAGTGTGAAAAAATAATGATCTTATGAAAATGCACTTCGTACAATATGATAAAAAAAAGTGTATTTCCATTATGCAAGATGCAATCTCCTAGAGAAGAAGAACCAATGCGTAATCAGGGTTTCCATAGTTAAGCAGGCATTAAGCATCAAATAAAACTAATGCTAAAAGCAAAGTATTCTTAAAGTATGTAGAGGCAAAGTGCACTCAATAATAAGGCAAGAAAAAAAGTATATGTTCATTAAAATATACATGGAGGTAACTACATTTTATAAACCATTTTGGTCATTGCAGAATGAAAAGATCATAAATATACTAAATCAATGATATTAATGGAATAAAGTGATGGAATTAATGTGGAAGTGATGAAATAAGGTGGCTTGGTATGGGAAGTGAGATGGTGTAACTATAACAGAAATGAATTAGATTCCAAACTCAGTTAGATAATACAAAGTACGCTAAAGTATTTCAGTCAATTTAATGATTGATTGCAACTAATAAAGTACATTAAAGTATTTCAGCCAATTTAAACACGGTTGTATAATATAATGAAAGCCCATCATTTTACATAAATAGTATGTGTTTATTAAAAACATTAGTTAAATAGCAGAAAACGGACTCTACCTACCCCTCTGGTATTTATAAAAACGGGCAACTTACGTTTGATAAAAATTTGATTGCTTAAGTTAGCTCTGTTGGTACTTGGTATTAACTAATTGGCAGAAGTTACAGACTTATCTGAGATGATACTCACGATAGTATCTTAAAAAAGATATTTTATTTTTACAAAAACTCTTAAAAATTAACATATCAAACAATAAAACTAAAAGCTTGTAAAAACTTTTTAAATAGTATAAAAGTTAGAAGGTAGAGATTTATGTGTGCAAACATGGAGAACTAAAAATCTCTAATGACTTACAAAAAGTTAACAGACTTGTGCATCAAAAAGTTAAAAAAAAAATGTTTTTTTGTTGCGAATATATACAAGATTACAAGTCTACAACGGTAGCAAATATCCACAATTGTCGCAGTCCTTCAGATGTTGAGTTCAAAGGGAGAAAGCGTAAACAAATTTAGATTATAAAAAGAGAAAACTGTCAAATAGGCCCACGTACTATTAGCAAAACGTCAATTAGGCACACGTACTTAATTATCACCCAATCAAGCACCCAAACTTAAAAAAATACTCCAAAACATGAATTTAGCCGGTACACCCCCGGTTGGCCGGTTAAATGCTTCCGTGGCAACTGAGCTGGCTCTAATAATCGATATAAGCATCGGGTAAGGGTCGTTTATATGGAGAAAACATTTCCCAAATTACCTTAACCCTAATTTCAATGTTCTTCACGTCGCTTTGAACGGGAGAAGAAAACGGGTAACGCCAAAAGCTCGTGGGTGTACCGGCATCACCTTCTAGCATTAACTTCTGCGTAGTACAGGTAACTAATGTCTTATTCGAATGGTACATGGTAGTTTGGGACCCATATGTGTTTGTTTTTGGTGCTTTGCTCATTACTTGAACATTTAATGGACTGAAGTGATATTTAATTCCAACAATTGTTGTTATACCCGTATTCTTCAATGTGTAATCTATATTTTGAATAGTTAATTGTACAAAAATTAAGCTTTCCTGTTAATTGACCAACCATTCCCTCCTTTTCAGAATGTTTGACAAGGTTCAGCTAAACATTCACCATGGGGGGACTTTGGTTAACAAGCCTACGCGTATGTACAAAGGTGGTGAAGTCAATACTTTGGAAATAGATCCTGATTTCATATGCTACCCTCATTTAATGAAGTTCCTCAAATCGGGTATGTATGGAAATATCCAAGGGATTTATTTTAAGAAACCATCAGAAAGTATGGATACTCTATATGAGTTGTACAATGATGAGTCAACTTTACATTTAATAGACATTGGTAGTAGTTGTGGACAGTGTGATGTGTATGTACAACATGGTTTGGATGAAGTTGAGTTGGTAGACTTCCTCCCATTACCACAACCAGACAATGCAAAGGATGCAAATGCAGAAAAGGATGCTGAAGAGGCTAATGAAGAGGCTAATGAAGAGGCTAATGAAGAGGGAGATGATGAGAGTGATTCACTGGAAATTGAGAGTGAAGAAAGGAATGCTGAAGAGCATGAGGAAGATCTTTGGGAGGTCCCATTAGAATCAGATGGTAATATTGCAGATGAAGAACATATTGACACTTCAAATATTGATGGTGAAGCTGGGTTTGATAATGATGCCACTGATGAGCCACATCAAACAAATGAGGACTTAGGAGGTTCTGATCCTGAGTACTGCAGCACTGAATATGACTCAGATAATCCATCTAGCTTGGAGTCAGAAGAGGATCCAGAAAGTGGTGTTGTCAACACAAAAAAGAAGAAGTGCAGCCATCCTGTGTACAACCCTCATTCTGAGCCTCCATTAATTGAGTTGGCAATGCTATTTGAGGATGGTAGGGAGTTTAAGAATGCTATGATAAGGTATGCAGTCCATAAGAAAACAGACATTTCTTTTGTGAAAAATGAGCCTTTAAGAGTTCAAGTCAAGTGTGGTCCCACATGTCCCTTTGGGTGCACTGCCAGTTGGGAAAGAAGATACAAATGCTTTCAAGTGAAGGTGTTAAGGCCAGACCATTTGTGCAATTCCAAGTTCAAATTGAGGGTTGTTAGCCAGAAGTGGTTAGAGGACAGATTTGAAGACAAGGTGACAGAAAACCCATGCATTGGTGCTGTGGAATTCAAATCCTTGGTCAAAGCTGAACTGAAGATCAACATTTCAATAAGCATGGCTACAAGAGCTGTGAGGGGAATTCAAGAAAAAACAAAGGCATCATTTAAAGATCAGTTTAAGAGAATAAGGAATTACGCTGAAGAGTGTTTGAAGTCTATTCCTGGCAGCACTGTGGTAGTGAAGACTGAGAGGGTTGTCCCAGATGGTCCCTCTATATTCCAAAGAATTTATGTGTGTTTTGGGCCTATAAAAAGGGGTTTTGGAGAAGGATGTAGAAAGGTAATTGGGGTGGATGGATGTTTTCTTAAAGGCCAACTGAAGGGTGAAATTCTTACTGCCGTTGGAAGGGACGCAAACAATCAGATGTATCCTATTGCCTGGGCTGTTGTGGAAATTGAGAATAATTCGTCTTGGACCTGGTTTCTTGAGTTACTAAAGCAAGACCTCAATATTGAAGAACCTGAAGACTGGACTATTATCAGTGATCAACAAAAGGTTCATTTATATTTCTTTAATTTTATGATTCAGTTGAAAATAATTAATAATTATTTATTGTCCATATTGTACTGTTTTTTAACTTGCTTTTCCATATTATTTTCAGGGTCTAGCTAATGTGATTCAAGATGTATTTGGAGGGGTGGAACACAGAAACTGTGCAAGACACATACACGCAAATTGGAGCAAAAAACATAAGGGTTTGGTTTTGAAAAAGCTTTTCTGGAGGGTTGCTAAGTGTACATCTCAAGAAGAATTGCAGGTTACTTTAGACGAGTTGGACAAACAGGACACACAGGCTGGACAGGACTTGCGCAAATACCCTATGAAGTTGTGGTGCAAAGCTTATTTCCGTACATCAGTGAAGTGTGACAGTGTGGACAATAATCTATGTGAGGCATTCAACAGCACTCTTCTTAGTTGCAGATCAAAGCCACTTATTCCAATGTTAGAAGAGATGAGGGTAGCAATGATGAAAAGGATTGCAAGAAAAAAGAAAGCAGTAGACAAATGGGCAGGTAGATCCCCAAGTCTATATTTTGTGTAGCTCATCTTTTTCTTAGTTATTGATATAGGTTGAGGCAGTTTTAGATCACTTCTTTTCTGTATTTGAATTTATTCAGAAAAATTATTCACATAGTTATTTTGAAATTTTAACCTAATGTTAAGTGGTATAATTCAGGAAACTTTGGTCCTCTAATCTTGAAGAAGCTGAATAAGAACATTGTAGCCAGTGAAGGGTGGCATGTTGACTTTAATGGAGATGATGGGTACGAGATAAAGAAGGGAAGACATCAATTTAAAGTCAAACTACAAGGGAGATCATGCTCTTGCAGAAGATGGGATGTATCAGGTATACCTTGTGCACATGCAGTATGTGCTATACTGGACCATGGTCAAAACCCTGAAGAATATTTGGAAAGCTGCTACTCTAAAGAAATGTTTGTCAAAACATACTCACATACCTTGCAGCCCATCAATGGTGAGATGTTTTGGCCCAGGTCAGCAAATGATGAAGATATTCAGGCCCCATTGCCCAAGAAAATGAGTGGAAGGCCAAAAAAGAAAAGAATTCGTGAAGAAACAGAAGTTCCATCGGGAACTCAGCTCTCCAGAAAGGGAAGAATCATGTGTTGTTCAGTTTGCAAACAAGAAGGACATAACAGGTCATCATGTCCATCCAACACTCAACCTGCACAGAAAGGGCTGAAGAGGGGTCCACGTGGACCAAGGCCAAGGGGAAGAGGGAGGGGACAAGGCAGTGCATCACTAACTCAGGATGGTGGAAAAGGGAGGAATACAACTGAAATGGGGTCAAGTGTGAGAGGAAGAGGAGGTATAAGAGGTAAAAATAGAAAAAGGCCAACTGAAAGAGGCTTTGGTATATATAATGATCCTGAAACTGGAACTACAATCCTTAATGTAAGTTATAATGCTTTATAAAAACTGAAGTTCACACATGTAGAATGCTTATACTAGTAATGTGTTTATTTTTTTTTCAGCCAGGACAACGGGGAGAAACAGTCTTAAGTTGTGATGGTGCTCCAGAGTGAGAAGATGAAGTCAAAGATGTGAAGACCATAATATATTAATCTACTGCATATGTATTTAGGCCTACATTGTTGTACGTTTTGGAAGTTTGGATTACATAGTCCTAACTTGTGTAGTGTACTACTTCTGTGTAGGCCATTTTGAAGCCAACCTTTTGAAACAAAATATTGAATGTTGGTATGTTTTGGGATGTAAACTTTAAAACTTAATATTATGTGTTTTGGAATGTTGTGCTTTGGTATGTACTGGAATTGGTAACTTAATCTTCTACCTACTAAGTCTTCATATGTTTCACAAGTTTGGTACATATGCCACTGAATATTCTGTTGTGCTTTTATATGGTTGAGAAGACAAGTGTGGTATGTTTATCCACCAAGTTTTTACTAAAGAACCTAGTAGACAACCTGGTTCACAAGTGTGGTATGTTTATCCACCACAAACAATTAATGAAATGCTTTATCTGGTTTTTGTGTTGTTGACAGCTAAGGAAAACCATTTCTGTGATAATGCCACTTTTATTTCTTTTTTGGGACTGTTAAAAGAGTTCTGCAATTGGACATTTACATTCTACTCATTTACATTTGGACAATTACATTGTAGTATTGTACACATTAACATTCACATTCTAGCCAAACATAGTAACCCAAAGATAACACATTACCATTGAAATACAAATACCAAAGTCAATAAACACTAGGCACACTGGGCTACTGTTAAGTACTGTATTACATTTACCCAACCCCTACATACACACACAGGTGCTTCTGATATGGAAATACATCAAACCAACTACAACCAGTGTGAGAACTAAGCCAAATGAATACACTTTCCTAAAACATTTGGTTTTCTTCACTTCGTGTTCCAGTAGACCTCTGACATAAGCAACATCTGCTTGAAGAATACGTTGTTCACGTCCAGAATTTATTCCCTGAACATCATCTCTTCTGTGCAAAAAAGTTCCTTGGCCAAATAACTCGTTTTCAGCATCCACATCTTCCTTCCACAAAAAGAATCCGCAGCTTTGGTCCTAATCAATAAAACATCCAACAAACCTTATTTAAGTCATTTTCAATTAAACAAGGGCTGAATTTCAGAGAAATACCTTCCATTTTTGACAGCCATAAAACATCCGGCCGCTCTCCCGTGATGTGCAAAGAGGCGCTTTTAACTGGCAAAAACAGTACACAGGTGGTTGGTAGTTGAGAGTTCGATTTCCATTCTTTCTTCCGACGGTGGCAGATGAAGCAGACATTCCGATGGGGAGCTCGAGCGACGAAGCAGAAAAGAAATGGGTGAACTCAGCTCAGGGAAAAGATGCAGATATAGGGTTCTTCATTGGGTTACCAAGTCAGCAAAACACGTGGATTATTAGAGCCAGCTCAGTTGCCACGGAAGCATTTAACCGGCCAACCGGGGGTGTACCGGCTAAATTCATGTTTTGGAGTATTTTTTTAAGTTTGGGTGCTTGATTGGGTGATAATTAAGTACGTGTGCCTAATTGACGTTTTGCTAATAGTACGTGGGCCTATTTGACAGTTTTCTCTTATAAAAATAATAAATTTGCGGTGAGCGTGGATCGAACACGCGACCTTCAGATCTTCAGTCTGACGCTCTCCCAACTGAGCTATCCCCGCAGCTGCTAATAGTTACCGTATTACGTTATTTATCAAATATTAAAAAGGCTGAAACAACAAAAAAACGCCGTTGCCGGGGATCGAACCCGGGTCACCCGCGTGACAGGCGGGAATACTTACCACTATACTACAACGACTTGTTGATTCTTTGTTTCTTTGTTACTATATTTTAACAATGTCTGTATCCTATTTCCTCGTTTCCAATAAGATACTTCATATGCATGAAACATATACTTCGTACTATTATAAAATGAAGCCCCAACTCTGATTTTGTAGATATTGCTACTTCAAAAAAAATGAAAAAGCAATGAGTAGCTTATATGGAATATTTGATTGTTGATAAAAAAAATATAGGGACAAAAGGACTTGTAATAATAATACTCCGTATTAAAGAGTAGTACATGGATACAATAGAAGAAGTATGGGAATGTTTAAGTGTGACTCAGGGGTGGAGTCAACACATTAGCCGGACTGGTCCGGTTCAAAGAATATTTTTAGAAAAAATTTCACACGGAATTTTTTACATTAAAAATTAAGCAATTTTTAAAATTTGGGGTGAGTCAGGACCTAGGTTGACCGACCCCTAGTTCCGCCCATGAGTGTGAGCTGAGTGATGAATGAAAGGCTGGCTAGAATTCAATTATTGGGATTAGGTCTGAGGGCAACGGCGCCGCTGAGCCGGCGACAATGCATAAATGTGATGGTCTCCATCCAGGGGGAATGGACGAGCCTGGTCACAATGTATGAAGGCGTCGGGGCTGAGGGACCGGACTACGATGAGGATTTTGACGAGGGTTGGCTGAATATGAGGGTGGCGGCACAAAGCCAGTCGCGATGCATAAGGGCGATAGTCGCAATCCGGAAGAGGATGGATGAGCCCGGCCGATGATAGACGATGGCGATGGCAGCCCGGGAGCCAATGAGACTATGTTAAGCTTTCTCTCGACATTTATTGTTAACTTTGTTGTGTTATTTTTAATTATTCTCAATGTCCCAACCGTTAGAGGGATCCTTATTTTGGTTGAGAAGGCATGTTCCGAAACTGGTGAAATTTATAAGAGCAATTTAATAAAATCCGATCATAAATTAGTTTGACAAGTAATTTCCTCTAATGAAGACGCTATTGCTTGGGAAACACATCGCTGACACTTGAAATCTGCCTCACCAAGGTAAATAACTACTTGGGAGATAAAAATTAACAGTTCAAAGTTTGACATTTTAAAGCAATTTGATTGGGAGACTACACCGGAAATGCATAAAGAGTGTAATTTAAAGAATGCGCAATTACTTTTAAAATCGTACACCCTTCAAGTTTAAACTTTAAAACTTTTGAATTGAAAATATAAAACTTCCATCTAAGTAAAATCCTAGTTCTCAATTATCAAATAATCGTTTCATGTAACAAGAACTTGGAGGCCAGCTTTGAAAAGAAAACAAAAGGAATAAAGAAAAAATGGAAAATTTGTTGTTTGACATGATGCACGCTTCTTCTAAGTTCCTTTTTCCTTGATTCCAACCGAATCTTTGAGACATTTCTTATTCAATCCAATCTTACCACCTTTTAAATATAATTTAATCCTAAACACTACAAAAACAACAACGATATTGGCACGGAATTGACACAAATTGATTAAGTTTGGCACGGATCATAACATATTTTTGGCACGACTCCATGTCAAATAGCTCATGACATAATGGCTTTGGCACGGATTTTACGTATCCGTACCGGCTCCTCTATAAATTTTGGCGAATTCGTGCCAAAGATCTGTGCCAAGTTGGTGCTAATTCCGTTATTCTTTTGTAGTGAAAATGAAGGGGGTGATTTTGCAATTTGAATGCAAGTTGATCCATGATTTGTATGTTTTGGTACATTAAAGGGGAGGACCATCCAATCTACCAAAAATGCAGATAGTCATGTAAAACAATTTCAGTCCTTTACCGTTAATATTTGTATTGTAATAACACGCATTTTTAGTACATTTGCACTTAGAGCCCGTTTGGTAACAAAATAGGCTGTTTTGGCTGATTCTGCTGAAATTTATGAAGTTCTAGCTGAAGTGGCTGCATTGGCTGATTCTGTTGATTTAAGAAAAAAAATTCTAGAATATATTTTATTAATAAAATAAAGAAAAAAATATATGTAAAAATAGCTAAAATGGTCAGCTACAGTAACTTCAGCCAATACAGCCAGAAAAGTAACTCTAACCTTACTTTTTCTGTTTATTACACAATTCAGTGCGCGAAAGCAAAAGTCATGTGTTTGGTGAAAAAGTTGGCTGATAAGCCTGATAAGCCGAAAAACAGTGTTGCCAAACGGGCTCTTATTTTAGTCCAAGCTTATTTTTCAGTCCAAGACTCCAAGCTATTGAAATTGTAGTGGCTTTTTAGTACAAGAGTCATGGGTACTGGTGTATTTTAGATCTCAATATGTCCATCCTTAAGCAACTTGTTTTTTGTATGACTTCTTCATATTGAGCATTTTGCATCAATAATGTTTTATTTTGGGAACATAAGATTGGTGTAAAATTTTCAAATACAGTCCCGTTCCAAAGTTTCACACTTTCACCAATGTCCAGCCTCTTATTTTTTAAGGAAGTT